ATATATATATATACATACATTTTATGACATTTAATGACAAAAATAAAAGTACATTAAATCATTTCAATATTTTTACTGTTTTACTTTATAACACCAGCAAAATCATCTCAAATATATTAAATTAATTGAACAGTTCAGCTGATTATGGCATAATTTATATAAATGTTCTCTGCATAATTCAAGGAATCTAACAAGACCAGTCTTATAAGAAGAAAAACTTTTTATAAGCTATTTCTTGAAATTTCATTATTATTAATGGTTAATGGCTTCATATTAATAGTTAATAGTCATAGGTGGCGCTGTTGTCAAATTGATGTGGTGTGACTATGGCTCTTATAACACACGCCAAGTTTGGTTTGAATACGTTAAAGCGCTGCAGATATATAGCCTCTCGTCTGTTTTGGTGTACTCTTCGTCAAATTCGTACACGTGTTATTTGAGAACGGTTTGACTAATAAACTTGAATTCTATAACTTTTTGCCAGCATGGTCTGAAGATGATCGGAGCCAATTTTGGTGAAAATCAGACAAACCATCTAAGAGGAGTACGACAAAAGTAGGTTTTTAATTAAAAATTGCAAAAAATCTTGACCTGTACATTTTTACAATTTTGGTGACCATTTCACTCTACATGGGCCAAGGAATCAGAGGAAAAAATTGCTCCTAAAATTTACGGTTCAAAAGTTATTAGCATAAACTGAGTGCAAATTTGAACTGTTGGTGGCGCTAGAGGGATTGAGTTACACACTCAAAACTAGCTATGGTTAATTTTGAGACTGTCCTCTATCTGTGTGCCAAATTTCATAACTTTCCCGCAAGCAGTTCTATGGGCTACCATAGGCTGTGTCCGAAAGACTTTGCAATGACTTTGCAGGCAGCGTTTTTGTACGAAGGCACCTTATGAAACTGATTTCAGACAGGCTTCTGAGGCAGCATAACTATTTAATGATCTACACCAAAATAGAATGAATTTTGGTGATAACTAAACGAATATTTATTTACTATAATACTGATTTCTCGCTAGAAATAACATCAAAAGTGCAAAAAGTTAGTCAAATATAACTTTACACACAAACTGACCACCAAATGCAACTTTCAGACGCCATCTTTATCTTTTAGCTCAACCGTCACGGAATGGAGCGCACAGGATTGTGGGATATCAAAGGCAGCGAAGGATACATCTATGCTGCCTTCAAAATTCGATCACAAGAAGGTACCTCCGGAGACAGGAAGTAAAGCAGAATTTGTATTCGGACGTGCCTTGTTGCCTTCCTGCCTTGGAATGCTGCCTCCGAAGGCAGCATTTTAGAGTTTTCGGACGCAGCCATAGACTTCCAGAGCAGAAGAAACAAGAAGAAGAAGAGGAGGAGGAGGCGCTTGGCCCCTAATAATAGTATCTCAGTGATTCTAAAATAACAGTACTGTTATGAGTAGTTGAATTATTTAAATACTATCATAAAAACTATTATTTCAGCTCAAAGGCTTTCAGCACATCTGTGAATGCCTGATGTAGACGGTGGTGCTGACCTGAGCGAATGAGGTCTGTGGGTTCAGCATGAGGTTCCTGAAGGTTCTCCTGAGGACCCAGTTGAACTGGTGGCAGAAGGATGTGCTGTAGGTGATGGTTCTGGATTTGGGTCGTGTGCTGTAGTCCTGTCCCTGAACGATTCGCTCCAGCTCGCTTTTGGTCTGTTTGTAGCTGGAGCTGTTCTTGTATTCTTCCACCAAACGGTCCTCGATGCCCTTCAGAGACGAACTCAGCTGCTCCTGGTCCAGTTCTGACACACGCAAACACATTTATAATCAGTCACACAAATACACTAGTCTCAGTCACTGATGCTATTATTATCTAAAAAAATATATATATAATAAAATAAAACATTTGTATTAAAGCTGAAATAAATTCTAAATATTACATGAAAAACAAACAAAAACTACAACTATTAAACAATTGTTTTAAAGCAGAAATAAGTTCTAAATATTACATGAAAAAACTATAACAGATTCCTATTATGGCTGAATAAAACAAATTCTAAATCTTATATAAATAGCTTAAAAACCCTTAAAGTATTAATAATTCATATTAAAGCTGAAATAAATTATAAATATTAATCTCAGTCTGTGATGTTATTGTTAACTTAAATGACAACACTTTTAAACATTCTTTTTAAATCTGAAAAACAATAACTAAATTAAAAGTATTAACGGAAGAAACTTAAACGAAAAATACAAATATTGCCTTGACAACTAACTGAAATAAATAAGTTGAAGTTGAAGTACTTCAATTAGTAAAACTAAAACTGAAATAAAAATAAAGCCAAATACACACAATTACAAAACAAAAATAAAAACATATCAGTTCTTGACTAAAATAAGCTGCAAAATGGCCTTTATACTGCGGAAGGGAAATTGTTGTACCCTCATTGTCGTATAACTTGTTGAGAGCGACGGCGGTGGATTCTCCATTGATGACATCCAGGAAGAAATCAGCAGGATTGTTATGAGGTTCACAGGTGTATCCTGATACACACACACACACACACACACACATCAGTATCAGGACGTGAGTGTCTGTTCATGTGTGTGTGTGTGTGTGTGTGTTTTCATACCGATCTGACTGAAGTAATCCAGGGCGTCTTGAGCCAGGCCGTGATACACCAGTCTTCCTCCCACCAGCAGCGTGAGGCTGTCGAACAGCCGGTAGATGGAGTACCGCGGCTGATGGATGGACAGGATGATGGTGCGACCGCTGTTCACCATTCTGAACAAACCACAATGTCAATGTCATATTTCACCCCAAAAAAACAGTTTTTTATTTTTATTTTAAAATATAAAATAAAAAAAATACATATGCAAAAATAAAATGTATACAAAGTAATTAGTTATTATTACATTTAAAAATAAAATGTATAAACAATTTATATAAATACATTTATATAAAATGTAAATGAACGCCTCCCTGAATCAGAGACGTTATGTCAACGCTGACATTAGGGGTCTTACTTGAGAGCCCAATCACATCTGAGTAGTAAAAAAACAGGCCAATTAATATTGGTGAGTGGATTTTGCATGCCTAGTGGCATATACGAATATATAAAACGACAGTGTGCATCTACTCATTCAAGTTTACGCTGAGGAGCCAAGACTGTATTCCAGCCATTCAGCTGTGTAGTTCAAGGTTGTGGCAAGAGGGATGTAACATCTCCGTTCCCTCCTTCAGGGAAACCTTTCAGTCAGTCACATTCGATTGGACACAGCAATGCCAAAAATGGGTCTGCCTTCTCCAAGTGCAGCGCTTGCAAGTTCACCACCTTGTGGGACACTCCCAAAGGGAGTGGTGGAAACTTTGGACACGTATCCAGGCCGGGGTCTCAGGACAATGTGAGTCAATCAGAATTCAAGGCAGGTTTCACTGGCCGAAAATGCCTACAGGTTCCCCAGCCTCTTGATGGAAGTGAGTGGGGTCTGGAGCGTTGTCTTCAGAGACAATATCTTAAACTTGACTGACTCTAGAGGCTCAATGGAGCTGTCTGCAGTCCATAAAGGACCACTGAGAGATCCCATGAGAGGACAAGGTGCAGTCTACCTCCTTATGTCTCTCAAGAACCTAATGATCAGGTCGTGTTTCCCATAGACCTGTCATCTACACCATTGTGATGTGTTGCAATAGCAGCAACATGTACACTTTCAAGGTGGAGGGAACCGTCTCCGCTTCAGACTCTCTTGCAGAAAAGAAATCACAAGTGGGAGGACACATGGGAAGCAAAACAGATCGCTGAATTGACTTCAAATCAGCTGGACCACCAGTCTCCTTTTCTCCTGGGAGGGTGAGCTGTTATTAGAGCATGTCGACTGCATGATTGAGCTCCCATGGAATATGAATGGAGAGCAGCGACTTGAGCTGCATCTGACTCTAAAGGAGGATATGGCAGGCAAGTTGTGACATGCAACGGGAGCACAGATCACCTTGGCAGTTGATGTATGCAATGTTCGCAACGTGGTCCATCCGGTCTCATATGTAACAATCTTGAATTTTGGGCCAATGGTGGAACAGGGCTGAATTCACTGCTTCCTGGGAAAGAGCAGCTCCCTCCATCACTGAGTTGCAGTTTCTTTGACTCTTGGAGGGTTTAGTACCAACATAAGGGACAGGCTGCATCGCCTTCCTGCTGGTGGCAGTTCTGCGGCCAATATGTTGGTTCTGGCCACACCGGAGCAGATGTAAAAGCCACAGGGAGATGACTTCGGCGACAGGGACTGGCCCTCGTCACAGGCAGTCCAACTCCTCCAGGATGGCACATCAATACGTGTCATTGCCAGAAGGTTTGCTGTGTCTCACAGCACAGTCTCAAGAGCATGGAGGAGATTCCAGGAGACAGGCAGTTACTCTAGGAAAGCTGGACAGGGCCGTAGAAGGTCCTTAACCCATCAGCAGGACCGCTATCTGCTCCTTTGTGCAAGGAGGAACAGGATGAGTACTGCCAGAGCCCTACAAAATGACCTCCAGCAGGCCACTGGTGTGAATGTCTCTGACCAAACAATCAGAAACAGACTTCATGAGGGTGGCCTGAGGGCCCGATGTCCTCTAGTGGGCCCTGTGCTCACTGCCCGGCACCGTGGAGCTCAATTGGCATTTGCCATTGAACACCAGAATTGGCAGGTCTGTCCTTTTCACAGATGAAAGCAGGTTCACTCTGAGCACATGTGACAGACGTGAAAGGGTCTGGAGAAGCTGTGGAGAATGTTATGCTGCCTGTAACATCGTTCAGCATGACCGGTTTGGTGGTGGGTCAGTGATGGTCTGGCAAGGCATATCCATGGAGGGACGCACGGACCTCTACAGGCTAGACAATGGCACCCTGACTGCCATTAGGTATTCTGTCATCTCATTAGGAGCATGCCCCAACGTTGTACAAATACAAACTACTATACAAACTTATACAAACTACTGAGTACCATTTTGAGTTGCTGCAATGAAATTTCAGCAAAATGGACTAGCCTGCTGCATAATTTTTTCACTTTGATTTTCAGGGTGTCTTTGAATTCAGTCCTCTGTAGTACAGTTTGTACAGTATAAAAACCATTACGCCTATGGAGAGTGCCCGTAAACCACAAATGCAAGTATGTGTGTGTGTACGTATATGAACATGTATATGAACATGTCTTTCTTGTGGTTTAGGTGTGGAATATGACCGGTTTTGTATAAACGCACCTCTTGAGCAGCATGAGGACAGAGTTGGCTGTACTGGCGTCCAGGCCGGTGGTCGGTTCGTCCAGGAAAAGCACCGGCGGATCAAAGATCAGCTCCATGCCGATGCTTGTCCTCTTCCTTTCTCCACCCGAAACACCACGAATCAGCTGCGTGCCCACCTGTAAAACCAGCCAATCAGAGCAGCCGTCAATTTATTTATTTATTTATTTAGTTTGTATGTTTTATCTATCTATACATTTGAGGAGAATAAAAAACACTTAAGACAGTAGATACATCTAAATTAAAGATGAGACTACATACTGTACACCCTTTACTGATTTTTGAGAATGTTAAGTCTGTGTTGATTATACATGTAGTCAGTCAGATGAAGGTGTGTTTGGTCTGTTACCCGTGAATCGGCCACTTTGCTCAATCCCAGCTCCTGAATTAGTCCCTCAACCTTCTCATCTTTTTCTCGCTGACAGATCGACTTCGGGAGCCGTAAAGCCGCTGAGAAACACAGATTCTCACGAACGGTCAGCGTCCCCATGACCACGTCATCCTGCAAAAAAATATGCCTTTGAAATAGCCGCCATTTACCGGTATTGGTGATATTTAAAAATGAATAGGACACGTATAATAATATGACACATAATTATCCGGCACCATTAGGTTGTTATTCTCACAAACTGTCTTATTTTGACACTGTGCCAAAAATGGCTAGCATTTTAGTTTCTTCTATTAAGTGTAATTGTTCTTTTTGTGTGCAATGATGTGATTCATTGGCAAATAAATGAATAAGAATTTGATGTTTTACCTTTTTGAACATTTCTATAGACATCGTGGTATCACGATCATCATTATCAGGGGTGTAAAGTAGCTAATTACAAGTACCCTCGTTACTGAAACTACCGTATTGGTCCAAATACAAGACTGTATTTTTTTCTTAAAAATACATCTGACAAAAAAAATGGGGTCGTCTTTTATTCAGGGTCTAGACTTTTACATGGCAATAACATACCTGTAACATTATGTGGTGCCAAGTACTTGTAAAGCGTAAAAAATTACTGTTATGGTATCAGTGCCCAGTGTTTCTCAACAACAAACATTCTAAGTTTTTCTGATGTGAGACTTTTATTTTGAAAGACGTGTGAAAGCTGTTGACACTTCTGTGAGATGCAGTTTGAGAGTGCCAGAGAAAAATGTGTTGTCTTGATTCAGTATCTGCAGTCAGGTAGGATGTTGTCGGGTTATACTGTATGTCAGTGTCATTATTCTAACGTTATTTTCGTAACATGTTACAAAATAAAGTCCCTATCATGCCAAACTTTCCTGTCCTGTCAGCCATTATACTGTGCTCATTATGCGCACTCTTCAATTGCACATGCATATATATATATATATGTGTGTATGTGTGTGTGTGTGTGTATGTGTGTGTGTGTGTGTGTGTGTGTGTTTTACATTATTGTAACACATTGGAACAATATGGTAAGTAGTTTTTCTCAGAAATTGTACTTTTTAGTTTAAAAATTGTGTACTTTTACTTGAGTACATTTGAAGTGATGTAACCAGTGTTGGGGAAAGTTACTTTTAAAAGTAATGCATTACAATATTGCGTTATATTGCGTAATATAACGTAATATTATAAAGTGTAATATTGCTTTGCGCTTCTTAGTTACTTTTAATGGAAAGTAATGTATTACGCTGGGCTTGCTTATTAATTTTTAATAACAAAAATCTATTTTTGGCAACTGTAAATGCCCTTCCACACCAAAAGTGAAATTAATAATATTCAATTTCTCTCAACACAGGGACAGGAAAGCTGTGAAAAAATGGGGAAAGAATGGGGAAAAAGTAACGCGCGTTACTTTTTTGAAAAAGTAACTCAAAGTAACTTGAAAGTAATTTGAAAAAAGTAATCTGATTATGTAACTTGCGTTACTTGTAATGCATTACATGCTTTCTTTTAAATTTCAATTTTTATCCATCAACGTGATTGGCTAGGGAGAGAGCAGTCTTGTGATTCCCATTAAATCACACAAAGGAAACTTTAACTGCAGCAGTAGATGGCGCTAACTGCTGTTCATCATGGCTGCTGCATTGCTTAAGCATCAATTCAATTGAGATATCAACATGTAATTCTTTCCCAGATTTGAAAGAAACATATTAAATTTCTGCTTACTCTATGATCTGTATGCATGCACCTTATTGATACCCCATGCATGGGCATTAAACACGTGGGGGCGTGTCCCCACTCCCAACTTTTAGTAAAATGTAAATTCGTCCCCCTTTTTTATTGGGCAAGTGTGTTCACATAGAGGTTTTCAAGCACTAAGGGCCAGTGTGCATAAATCTAGATTTAAATGCAAAGAGACAAGATAGTCTGTGCATGACCTGACATTTTATTCATATCCAAAATCAGGCAAAGTGAACATTACGAAGCACTAAACACTTTCCCCAGTGTATATTTCATTCATACTCAAAGCTGGAGGGCGCTCTCGCACAGAAAGTCCAAAACTGACTCATAGAAGTAAACATTTATACCAGGAAATCCCTAATATGGACAAAGGCATCCAGCTATTGCTGTAGCCAGAGCCGCTCTGGCTGTAGCTAAGCTAAATAAAAATCAGAAACATGTTGAGTGATGAAACACGAAGACAATAAACACACGATTGTGACAATATGTGGTTTATGTGTGTTTTTCAAGTCATCTCCGGGTAATAAATAAATAAATTATATGAATGAAGCAGTGCTAATTGACATATAATTTATTACAGTAGCCTATAAAAAATACAAATTATATTTTCTGAGTCAAATGTGCTGCTGCTTCACTAAGTGATCAGAAGAACTTAAATGTAGTAAATGAGTGTTTGTGTGGTTTACTCCTGCACTACGTATCCAGACAGACATTTGAAGTTTGGAGGTTGTGGAGCTCCGTCTATAAGAACCTCTCCAGAAAGACCTGCAGGATCCTTACGAGCGGCCAGAACATCCAGAAACCTTCAGTAAAACACAAACATTTGTATATAAGATATATATATATATATATATAAGAAATGAATACTTTATTCTTGCATTAAATTGATCAAAAGTGACAGTAAAGACATTTATAAAGTTACAAAAGATTTCTATTTCAAATAAATGCTGTTATTTTAAACATTCCATTCATCAAAGAATCCTGAAAAATAAAATGTATCTCGGTTTCCACAAAAATATGAAGCAGAACAACTGTTTTCAACATTGATAATAATCAGCAGTGTTTCTTCAGCAGCAGATCAGATTTCTGATTTCTGAAGAATCATGTGACACTGCAGACTGGAGCAGAGGCGGACAGTAACTAAGTACATTTACTTGAGTATTGTACTTAAGTACACTTTTTGAGTATCTGTACTTTACTTGAGTATTATTTTTTCTGGGAACTTATGACTTTAACTTCACTACATTTGAAAGACAAATATTGTACTTTTCACTCCACTACATTTCTATCAAGGTCCTCGAAGTAGAAAGTCGTTACTATGTAGCAGCTTTGAAAGTCAGTGGGTGATTTGTAAGAAATCAGTTCTTTTAAATTGCAATAATATTTCATGATATTACGGTTTTCACTGCATTTTTATTAAATAAATGCAGCCTTGGTGACGAGAAGAGACTTATTTAAAAAAATATATAATATAATATAATATAATATAATAGGCCTATATATACTAATATATATTATGTAAACAAAAACTTTTATTTTGCAATTATTCATGATACATTAGTGGATTTATATAGGTATGTATATATATATATATATATATATATATATATATACACACAATGTAACTTTTTGGGAAAAGTACTTTTTTTGTGGCTGAAAAAGCTGCTCTGTTTTGAAAACATTTGAACTACTTTGTAAAAAAAAAAATAACACTGGTTACTAGGGGTGTGACAAGACACTTGGTTCCCAAGACGAGATAAGACATGAGATTGGGATCACAAGATGAACATCTTGTAATCAGTGGCACCTGCAGGTGTACGGCTGTGACCCCAGAAACATGTCAACCTGTCAAATGAACCAGCGATGGCAATCATTCAGGATTTAAGTATTCTTTTGAGTCAGTTCTCTCTTTTCGGTGAAATAAAATGAGATTTGCAAATCAAAAACATATTCACAAATATATTTTTATGTTTCAAGCACAACTTTGCCTGGCATTCATTTTTCAATCACGCCCTGTACATTTGTAGATCGCTTTATTTTGTGATAAACACAGCAAAAAAGTGTTTGTACTTTGTAGTATAGCTATAAATCAATCATAAAATCTATACAAATTATTGGTTATTATCCAGCAGCACTTAAAATCCCCTGTGTTAGTGAGTAATCGGCTTGATGAAATTTGAAGTAAATCTCCATCTGGGACCAATATTTACTGAGCTTTGATGATTTATGTTCCGAAAAATTCAAAAATAGTTAAAAGTTAACTATTAAAAAGAATAGCTGAACATAAGTTCAAAAATAAAACATATTGTTTAAATTGTTACTGCCTTGAGTTATCATTTTGGAATAAATGTAAAATGTTTAAAAACACTAACTTGATTAGATTCATTCTTGCCTTTCTTAAATAATATTGATTACATTGTTAATGTGAAAATATAAAATATAATTTTTTTTATTTTTTTTCTGAAAGTGTAAGTAATGTTTATTTTACCAAGAAAATGTGACTGGGACATGAATTTACATTTGATTTAAAAAAAAAACACACACAACTTTCATTTCAGAACACAACCGCACACCACTGAAATGTATGGAAGCCTGTTTCCGCCACTGAATAAAAAATAAAAGAGGTAATTGTGACTTTTTATCTCACAATTCTGACTTTTTTTTTCTCAGAATCGCGTGATATGAACTCACAATTGCGAGTTAAAAAGTAATAATTGAGAGATATAGACTCACATTTCTGACTTTTTTTCTCGCAATTGCGAGTTTATATCTCTCAATTATGACTTTATTTCTCAGAATTGCGTGATATAAACTCACAATTGCGAGTTGTAAAGTCAGAATTGTGA